TAAGTCTGCCTCAACCCCCCAAACTCTGGGGATTATAAGCATGGGCCACTGAATCTTGTTGAGAACACTTCTCACAACCGTCAGTGAAATGCCACAGGACCCCAGAAAAGTCTACTAGGGTCATGATGTCACTGGGACATCAAAAGAACCTTGTCAACATTCAGACTTCATACTTATTGAGATCACTGCCTCCGTTTTTAAAATCCATTTGATTCCTATGTTCTACTCATCGACTTCTCTGCTCAAACAATATGCAATGCCTCTAGTGCAGGAACTGAGCTGTGATTGCTCCTATGGTGAGATTGTTGCTGTCTTTCCATATCCTGAGGTCTTATCCAGAGGAGCCACCTGCGTCTGAGCACCAAACCAGGATGCTCTCATGCCTACCCGCTGTCTAGCCTCCTCCTGAGATCCTTCTCCCTGCTCTCCACGGGGACTTTAAAAAGAGTGGCTGCAGGGAGGCAGGGGCAGGGATCATGTAATTAGCACTGCCACCTGCTTCTCTGCAGCCTGCTGATGTCACACTGCCTCTCTTCATTAGTAGAGGCTGTGGCTCTACTGGCCTTGGGCTATGGTCTATGCCCTCCCTGATGGACAAGGTCATGTCCAGCTCCCTGCCTCTGTGGCCTTCCAATGCCCAGTCACCAGCTCTGTTAAAGGAATTCCTCAGTGAAGCCCCAAGGTGCCCAGTGACCCAGCTCAGAGGCAGTGTGCTGCAGGACGGTCAGTCACACCGAGTCTGCGCCCACTGTACCACTCAGGCTCCTGCTGGCTGGCTCAGCAGGCAGTGCAGCCAGACCCCTCATGTGGAGATGCCCTCCCATGGACGTGTTCTCCTGCCCTGCTCCACCATGGCTGCCTACTGACAAAGTGGACGCAATGATGTCATTGACCTGGAAGGGTTATCACAAGTATGAAATGAGGTGACATGAAAAATTCTCAGAAAAGTACCAGCCCACAGGACGAACACAGCAACTGTTAGTCTTACTATTGTCACATGTCCCCATCATCCTCATTGTTGTCATCATTGACATCACCATCGTCTACCCTCATCAGTCTTCAAAGAATGAAGCGGAGCTGAGAAGCAGTCCATAAGGTGGGTCCAACAGTAATTAGAATTCAACATTTCTCCACTATGTTCCTGCTCTCCCAGGGAGTCAAGGAGAGTGGGCATCTATTGAGATGCCCTTAATTTTCCAGTAGCACTTACGCAAATCCCCAATTATCCTTTCAATGAAGGATAAAACATTTTGCAACAGGGTGCTTCAAGAATTATCCACAAAGAGTTAGTCACAACCTATCCAATGCTTTATTGAGCTATGATGACTCCCAAAGAAGGGAATGGTCCAGTTTGGACTAATCAAGAACATATTCAAAGGTTATGAGCCCCTTAGATTAGTGATTGGAACAATAGAAGGAGGGAACCAGGCTAAAGAGACAGGATGTTCTAGGAACTAGGCACTACATGGTCGTAGGAACTGAGACAGGAAAGCATGGTAGAGGTTGCAGAAGTTGAGAGTGTCCTCGGTAGATCTGTGTATTCTGCAAACTAATCTCATGCCACGTGGAGACGGGATTTGGGATGAATGTAGACATAGGATGAGTTGGGAGGCTGCTACAGGGTCTTGGAGAGTATTCCAGAGGCACACACTCAGGCAGGTCTCTAGACCAAAAGGCTCAGCAGGCTGCCAGTCCAAGACCCAGTTGACAGGCTTGGTGAAGCTACTACCAACAGGGGCTGGTTTAGTCCCTAAATAACGGGGGACTAGACCAGGACATCAAACAAAGAGCACCTGCATAATGTGCCTGCCTCAGGTCTGGATGATTTTGGGGAATCTAGGAGAAATTATGGAACCAGATTATAATTATAGTAATGGAAAGAGGACCCAGGAGATGGGAAAAGTTTGATCTAAAAAATAGGTTCTGGGTGCAGAAAGCCAACGCAGGAAGGAGACAAGCCACACAGCAGAACTGTACCTCTAGTAACAAGCCCCTGTAGTAGTTCCTTTTGGATGGCTGAGAAGACTTGCACGACTATGAATCAGTCTGAGTACGGAAACTATGGTCTGCCTTGAATGTCAAGAAAAAGTCTGTGAAGAGTTTAAGAGGCCACAACGCTCCTGTTTGCAGCTATACTTAAGCTAGACAGCGAGATGCAGAAGCCGATCTGCAACAGCAAACATCTCCAGATCCCTCCCTCCCATGCCCAGCGTTCTCATTTACTCTTTGATGCTCTGCTGTAAGATTGACTGCTATAAATACATACTGATAACATTTTTTTTTCTAAGTTCAAATATTGCTGTGACTACCAGTCTTAGGAATCAGAGGGAACAATTTCCTGTCACTAGTAAAGGCAGAAGAAAAAAACAAGTTATATTTATAAGTGAATTCTACTTGTTACATAAAAATAAGTCAGGAAAATATGACTTGATTTTGTTTCAGTTCCTCCAAGAAATTCTCCCACCCACCCTCTAGCATCACTAGGAGGAATGAGTCAACATCTAAATTATCACAGACTTCTTTAACTGTCCTCCTTTTGGAGAAATTGTTGATATTCTATTTTTGTTTAAATATCCCTTTTGATGTGATAACTAGGTTAGTCTCTCACCCTTAATGAAGGCATGAATTTCCAAAGATGCTTTTCTGAAGCCATGCAAACAAGTAGGTTATGATTAAAAAAAAAAATCCAACAATAGTAGAAGGTACGTATGGGTTGTTCTCTACAGATATATCAATAAAATGCTTATGTTACATAAATGTGAATTCATACACTCGAAATTTATAAAAATACAAAGTATTCAAGTTAGAGAAGACTAATATTAACTATGGTAAGGGGAAATAATTGGACAGTGTCTTTTTCACTTAACACTCTTGTTTAATACATATTTAACATGGATTTGTAGACGAAGCACCCTGGGCTATAAAGCCAGGAAGTAAGGAACCAAAATTATCAAGAGATCCGTTTTCCATCTAAATTGGTCATTCAGTGCTGTGTTTGTTCAATATACTTTGGATCCAAGAAAAGAAATTAACTCAAGAAAAATCAAATGAACAAAGAGGAAAGATTTAAGAAGTTAACAGATAATCTTATGCATGCAGCCCATCCTAAAATAAAATAAAATAAAATGAAACAAACTAATTAAACTAGAGTCTCCCTAATTTTCAGGGCCCATTCAGGTTTCTCCGTCGGGCTGCTCTCTGTCACTACAGAGCCCTACACGAACACACAAGCTACCATGGTTTCTGTGCCCTGCATGTCACAGATTTTAAGTCCCTCACTCCAATTTTACAGACTCGTCATCGGCTGAGTTCCCCTTGGGTCAGATGTCCGCTTTAGTTCAGTCAGGAACCGGCTCCTACATGGTTCCCTAGACCTGCTCCTGGCAGGGGGTGGGGGAGTGAAAAGGAGTGGAAGACACACAGTACGTGACACCGTCACATAGAGAGATTAGGACATAAATCAAAAGGTAAGCAGGCTTCAGGGAAAATAGAGGTCAGTCCAGTGGAGCCTGGGGAGCAATAAAGCCTGACCCTCTGTGCCGCTCAAGACGTGGGGTCCTGCCCAGACCTCTTCAGCTGCGCACAGCCACATGCAGAGAAGCCAACGCAGGCTTACCTCTGTCCCCACAGCCACCCACCTGCAAACGGTCAACCAATTTGAAGGGAAGAATTCCCTCCCCTTTTCCTTACGCATCCTGTGTTGGCAACTGTGGATGCTTAGACAAGTCTGTGGTGAGTTTAAGAGACCACACTGAACCTCCCACCTGCTACCATGCACCAAGTATGTGGAGGGATAACAGATACTTCTCTATGTCCTATAATGAAAATGATATCCCAGCCATCTAACCACACAGGGCACAAAGATTTCCGTGTAAAGGTTTTCCATATTCAACCAATGAGAGAACAATGGGATAAGATGCGTGGCGTATGCACTTTGAGTATTTTATGGTAGCACAACCGATGAGTCCACCCAGCTCATGTTTTGGCTTCCAGAGTAAACTGGAGGCAGAGCCCAGGACCAAGAATCACTGTCCCCTTTCCGTCTATGACAGGCCATGGGACTGCCTATGAACAGGGGACTGTGAATGCAGTGACAAAATTGAAAATGCTAATGAGAATGAGGTCGCAGAGATGGCAGGCCCTGCAGAGAGCAGGGAGCTGGTCCTCACTTGCAGTACAGGGGCAAGCAACCCTTCCCAGCCTGCCTGCCCATGTCGTTTCAGATGGGGCAGGAAATGCTAGAGTTTATGTGATACTGTTCCCTAATTACGATGCCACTCTAAAAATGCAGAGTGCCCAAACCACATCACCAAACAAGGTGGGGAAGGACAATGTGCTTCTGAGCAATGGAAGTTCCATTCATGCACACGCATCCACACACACACTCACAATCCTTACATGCTTTGATATGAAGACATGGCCCTGAGGAGGGTGATTCTTCTGGTCATGTGACTAAAGGGTGGGGTTTTAAGACAGCACTGATTCAACTGTCACTTCCACCCATGGGTGGGTAAGTATTTTTACACATGGGGAATTGCACGTGTGGCTGATACTTGGGAGGCAATTTTATAATTTATCATTATATATTAGCAAACAATATAGGATACATCAAAATTTTCTCTAACTTTAGGAGCCTGCGTCTCTGGATCATTTAGGGAACAGCAATAAGAAGAAGCAACATTAGCTGCAGTCTGGGAGCTCAGGATTTGGCATCTCTGATTTCCAACAACTTGACTGAAGGCAACGCCTCCCTTTGTGTAAAATCATGCATAATTTGCATCCAGGGCAGACATTCATCTGGTTAAAAGAGTTCTGAGTACAAATCAGGCCTCACTAGGCATCTTTTGAACATCTTAAATCAGGTCAGTTGTCATTTCTTTCCAACGTCTGACTGAACATCCCAATTCCCCATCCAGGTTGGAAAGGAGAATCTAAACACCAGGATTTACTTTCAAAGACCGCTGGAAGCCCAGAAAGCGGGGAGAGCAGGGTGCCAGTACCTGATGCTGCTCATGCTGCCTGTCTCGGACCCAAGCTTGCATCGCTCTAGCTGGCTGGCGACAATCTGCCGTTCAGCCTCCAGCTCCCGGGTCAGCCTTTCAAACTGTAGTTCCTGAAAGAAACCAAGCAACAAGGTGAATGATGTCATCTCTGTGAAATGGGAGGTCCCCACTGAAGCGACAGAATGGCAGAGGGAAAGCCCCGTTTTCAAAGGGGTCACATTAGAGAAACAGGATGTAACCGAGGGATGTGACGAGGACTGGAAGTTCAGACAGGCTGCTGTCCACTGGCTTAAAAGGAGCTACTTGAGATCTGCTCCATCTCCTGTAAAATGGGTTCAGCGTACTCATTCTGTAAGGTGGGCTGAGGACTAAATGACATATGGCCTAGGAAACAGTGGCCTTGCTATTTCTGGCAGTTGGTCAGCTTCCAAGTGTCAGTAACATTCCTGACATTAAAACTGTAGGTTTAGTAAACAATTCCTTTGTTACCATGACTTAAAGACTGTGTTTACCCGCACTGGGCTTCTCACTGCTTCAGCATGCTAATCTGGTCTCCATATTACTTATGTACTATAAAGAAGATAATGCTTTAAAACCTGGCTTTTTCATGCTTCAAATTCCAGCAGAATCACAATATTACACATTCTATACAGTCTAATTGCTAAAAGCACAATCTTTGAGATACATGATACATCACCTTTAAAAATGATCATGTGACTCAATGAAAACGGCTTCTGCAAAGCTGACTAAAGCTTAGGATTAACTTTAATGAAAAATGATTCAGACAGAACTTTAAGGATCTCAGCTATTCCAATGACAGCTCTTTGGTGTCATATTCTAGTCATTTTATTTTTTACACAGTTAAATTATTTAACAAACAATTACAACAAATCATATGTTTTAACCAAAAATTTCAGGAACACATTTACAATTCCACATTTAACTTTATTGAAAAGATAAATTATCTGCACAGTTAAATTTTGGAAATGAGAAAACAAGAATGCTATCTCATACTGAAGCATTGGGTAGGGTCCGTTTTGGAGAATTTAAACTTCCAAAATTGTATAGATCTTTCTTTCCAAAAAGAAGATTTCATTGTATTCACTACCCTGGGATGGTCTCAGGTGAGATCTTTGAAATGTCAAACGTGGTGTGTCCCATACATATATTAAAACTACCCAGGTTCTTTTCCATGGGAGCAGATTTTTTTTTTTTTTAAAACATTGACGTTATTTGGGAGATTAAAGTAAAAGACACTTTGTAGATGAGACACCTTTTGCTTGAGGGAGCTAAGACTGAGGGGTAAGCTGTTGGTTAAGTCCCAACTTTTCTTCTTGCATATTCTGAAGGGCACCAAGTATTATTGGCAAGAAATAAATAATAAGACCTCTCCCAGATGCACTTTCTATATCTCACCTTCATTTCCTTCCCTCGCAAAGTCTCTTGCTTTGATAGTTCCCTCCCACAAAAATATCCAAGCTCTGGATTTTTTTTTCCAGACTTTAAAACATACTGTGTGTTAAATCTATCTGTGTAAGAGGAAGCCAGCCTGTACCTGTGCACTGACACCATCCTGAAACACAGCACGGAGCTCCTTACCACTATATGGATAGTAATAGTTCCTGTTATCTAAGGAGGAGTCTCAATTCACTGCATTTCCCTGGGACAGAGGGGAGACCATCAAGGTGACGTTACAGAGCCAGGGACTTCCAAGAAAACAAGGCAACCCAAAGACACCCCCCCGCCCCCCCCCCCTGCTTCCAACCTTGATTCTGTGACTAAGTCAGAAAGATTTCGGACACGTCACTCAGCAACAGGAATGCATTTGTTGAATGAATAGGAAAAGGGAAAGAGCTCACTCTAGGGGAGGAAGTGGATCCCATCAGAGAGGAGAAGCACAACGTGCCTCTCCTCCCCTTCAGTCTTTGTTGTTGTCATGTTCTCTCTAGATACAAATGACAGTAGAATGCATTTTGATGCATTATATGTATGGAGTATGACTTACTTTAATTAGGATCCCATTTTGTGGTTGCACGTGATGTGGATTTCACTGGTTGTGTATTTATATGTGTCCACAGGAAAGTTATGTCCAGTTCATTCTACTGTCTCACCTTTTCCCATCTCCCATCCCTTCTCTTATTCCCCTTTGTCTAATCCAATGAACTTCTATTCTCTCTACCCCTCCCCCGGTATTATCTGTTAGCATCCATATATCAGAGAGAACATTCAGCCTTTGTTTTTTTTTTGGGGGGGGGTTGGCTTATTTCATATGACATGATAGTCTCCAGTTCCATCCATTTAATTTATTCTATTAAGGATAATTCTATTCTTCTTTACGGCTGAGTAATATTCCATTGTGTATATATACCACATTTTCTTTATCCATTTATCTGTTGAAGGGCACTTTGGTTGTTTCCATAGCTTAGCTATTGTTAATTGAGCTGCTATAAACATTGATGTGGTCACATTACAGTAGTATGCTGATTTTAAGTCCTTTGCATATATGCCAAAGAGTGAAATAACTAGATCAATTGGTGGTTCCATTCCTAGTTTTCTGAGGAATCTTCATACTGCTTATTAGAGTGGTTGCACCAATTTGCATTCCCACCAGCAATGTATGGCTAAACCTTTTCTCCACATCCTCACCAACATTTATTGTTACTTGTATTCTTGAATACTGCCATCCTGATTGGAGTTGAGATGGAGTCTCAGTGTAGTTCTAATTGGCATTTCTTCCAATTGCTGAAGATGTTGAACATATTTTGATATATTTTTGACCATTCATATTTCTTCTGTAAAATGCCAGTTCAGTTACTTTGCTCATTTATTAATTGGATTATTTGTTTTTGTGGTATAAGTTTTTTTTGAATTCTTAATTAAGCTCTATCTGAGATATTTGTGGAAAAGATTTTCTCCTATTCTGTAGGCTCTCTCTCCATGTTCTTCATGGTTTCCTTTGCTGTGAATAAACTTTTTAGTTTGATAACATACCATTTATTGATTTTACTTCTTGTGGTTTAGGAGTCTTGTTAAGGAATTTGGTTCCTAAGCTGATATGATGGAGAGTTGGGCCTACATTTTCTTCTAGTTGGCACAGGATCTCTGGTCTAATGACTCGGTTCTTGAGTCAGTTTGAGTTGATTTGTGCAGGGTGAGAGAAAGGGGTTAAATTTCATTCTACTACTACATATGGATTTTCAGTTTACCCTGCACTGTTTGTTGAAGAGGCTATCTTTTCTTTAATGTATGCTTATGGTGCCTTTGTCTAGTATGAAGTAACTGTATTTATGTGGGTTTGTCTCTGTGTTTTCTATTTTGTTCCACTGGTCTTCATTTCTGTTTTTGTGCCAATACCATGATGTTTTTATTACAACAGCCCCATAGTACAATTTAACATCTGGTCTCATGATGTGTCCTGCTCTACTTTCCTCATTAAGGGTTGCTTTCCCTATTCAGGAATCCCATATAAAAACATACTAAAGGTGGTGCACCATGATCAGTGCACTTCATCCCAGGGATGCAAGGTTGGTTCAACACAGGAAATCAATAAATGTAATTCATCACATCAATAGGCTTAAAGACAAGAATCCCGTGAATATCTCACTAGGGGCAGAAGAAGCATTTGATAAAGTTCAGCATCCATTCATGCTCAAAGCACTAGAAAAACTAAGGATAGGAACATACTTCGATGTTGTAAAGGTATAAATGCTAAATCCAAGGCCATCATCATTTTAAATGGAGAAAAATTGAAAGTGTTTGTTTTAAAACCTGCAACAAGACAGGGATTCCCTCTTTCACCACTTCTATTCAGCATAGTCCTTAAAACCCTCGCCAAAGCAATTAGAAAAAAAATCAATGGCAAACAAATAGAAAAAGAAGAACTCAAAGTATCCCTATTTGCCAACAACATGATTCTAAATATAGAAGCCCCCAAAATCTCCACCAGAGTGTTTCTAGAACTCATAAATGAACTCATCAAAGTAGCAGGGTACAATATTAACACCCATAAATCAAATGCATTTCTATACACTAAGGGTGAATCAGCTGAAAGAGAAATTAGGAAGACCATCCCATTCACAATAGAGAAAGGAGAGAGAGAGAGAGAGAGAGA